GGTCGGGGAGGAATTTGGTCTTCTGGGACGCCTAATCTTGCCCAACGGAAACGCCATTCATGCATGTATCGAAACCTGTCCTCCAAACTCAAGGCGGAGTCGAAAAAGAACGCGAGAAACGAAGTCTGATCCGCACGACTGAGGTCCAGGTAGGCTCTTGGAGGGCCAGATGGTGGGAAATGGGGATCGGTGAAAGGCCGAGCTGGTATAAGCTGCCGCCGAACCATACTCTTGCGTCGAGCCCGTTCGTCTCTGTCTCGACCCATGATCGATTTGCGTGCGTGGCTTGCCCTCTGACAAGTTCCTTCGTAATGATATTCCGTTTAGCAATATCCGTCTCCGACCTCCTCTCGTCTTCGAAGTCCAGTCGAGTAAAGATGTAATTCCAGTCCGGGATCCGAGTATAGATAGAAAGATAGGGAGAATCAAATGTCCAGATCATGGAGAGAACTGATATAGACATAGTTCAAAAAAGGAAAGAGCAAACAAACCTTCGATCTCGCTCTCGCTCTCGCTCTCGCTCTCGATCTCGATCTCGCCCTCGGTCCATCTTGCTCGTTTCGGCGAGTGGGCTTTCTGCTTTTCTCCAGGTGTTCCCGTCGTTTGTTGGGAATGAGTGTGGGGTCTGAGTTACAAGGAAGAACGAGCGATGCGTAGGTAGGTAGGTAGGTAGGTGTGCGTCGAGGAAGGAATGCTGTGGGACTTGAGTAAAATGCCATCTGCGTTTGTACGCCGACGGGAGCTCGAACTTTTTGGAAGTCGCGATCCACTAGCGGCCGCGTAGATTTCGCGAGGTCTGTCACGTGCAAGTATAGATAGAGTGGATGGAATATCAGGTCGGCTCACGACGGTTAATGAATGCATTTGCTGTTTGGTATACAGGAAGTAAATTACATAATATCTACACACCAATAGTCAGTCCTCTGATGCCATAATCTGACCTTCGCAACACCTAAAACCTATACGACCTTTCCCTCTTCTCACTCTTCTTCTCATCATCCCGCTTCTGCTTCTTCCGACTCTCCTGCGCAATCATATCACTCAAATCCTCATCATACGCCCAAGCCCCCTTCTCCTCTTTCTTGCTTGCCTCGAATCTCTTTCTCACTTCATCCTTGCTAATTCCATCTTCCGTAAGCAACGAATCAGGATCCAGCGCAACATCGACATCTCCAGGCTTCTTCCGCTTCCTGCTATCGTCTTCTTGCCCCAGGATAGGTATATGTGCATTTTGTGCACCTCGCACATCGTATGCGCGTTCGCCGCCGAAGAAACCCTCGGCACGGATCTGGCGCTCGGGGATGATTGTGTATGCTGATCTGGGCGCAGAAGACTCTTCTGTCTCGGTGCCGCGTTTGGATTTGCGGACGTCAAAATCACCACCAACGCTCATGTCGCCAGGGTATTCAGATGGCACTGCTGACTCGAGTCCACCTGGTGTCTCTGTGCCGCTGGGTGTCTGTAGTCCAGCAGCGGTGTCGTCGTCATCACCCTCCTCTTCCTCTTCATCACTCTCCTCGTCTTCTGATTCATCCTCTGGTGCTTGTAACTCTCCCCATAGTGTACGCTCAACTGGTTCTCCTGCTTGATTGTTGACCTGTGGCTGGAGAACGCCAAAGATATCTCCCCCATACAGCGGGCGATTGAATTCGTCCACGGGGGGTTTGCCATATCCACCAGGATGGAATCCCCACGCACCACCAGGTGGAGGAGGAGCATTCAGACCAGGAATCTTGAGTGATGGGTAAGAGGGTGGTGGGCCGAACCTTTGCTGATTGATCAACCATGGTGGAGGTGCTCCGGGGGGGATGTTCAGAGCCTCCTTCAGCTCCTCGCTCAGCTCCCCAGGACGTAAATGCCGTAGATTGGTTTCATACTCCTTGCCTTCGTAGTAAACCTCACCGTAGCGAGTTAGTTCCGGCTTTGTCTGGAACCGGAAGAAGGCTTCATACAGCTTTTGGTAGTCAATATCCAGCTTCCCCATCTTTGGCTGGACTCTTTCTCTCTGCTTCTGCTTCAAGCTTGCTTCATTCTGCTTCTCCAATACAGCATCACGCATCTCGGCGATTCCTGTATCTTGAATAAACTTCGGGAGCGCAAAAGGGGGCTTCTCAACACCACGTTTTGAAGAGAGGTATTCGCGCTTCAATGACCAATGAGTCGGAACTGGTACGATATTTCGGTAGGATTTGATCTGGACAAGGAGTCTTGGGTCCGAGGCAGATGTATCAGTCCATTCCACCAACTCGGGCTTCGGTACCAATGCCTTCAATTCTGCGACTGACAGCTTGTCCCTCTCCTTTCTCTTCTTCTTCGATAGCTTGGTCTCCTTATCCGCATCCTCGTCTTCGTCGGGTATCTCGTCATCGTCATCGTAGAATACCTCGCCTTTATCGCCTGCGTCTGCCTGTTTTCCAGCCTCGCCATCTTCCGTATTGGCACGAAACTTCTCTATGATATCCTTGAACATCTCAAAGTTGGGGTCGTCTTCACTGATGTCCAGTATTGAAACATCTGGTTGTAGGACATCCTCATTATCGTCCTCAATATTTACAGGCGCAGCGTCAGTCTCTGGAATTGCATCTGGTACCTCCTCTGGCTTCTTCTCTGTCTCTGGAGTTTCGGAAACCTATGTTCTCATTAGTGTCTTTCCAAGTTTATAATGCTACGCAACCATTCACCTGCGCTTTCTTCTGCTCCTTCTTCTTCATACGCCGCATGGCATTCTTCGTGAGCTTGGGCGCCATTTTGGCGTATCGGGGCGCGCGCCCTAGAGTATCATGGAAATGGTGCGCGTCGATGCAAGTAATAATATGATCAAATGTTTCAAATTGTAAAGACCTCGAATGGTGCAGGGCAAGATAGGCTTGATTGGATGTAAGGCAGATGGTGAAGTTATGAGCGCCGTCCTGTTTGAAGTGGAAGAACTTCAAGAAAGTCGCGATTTTAGCGCCGGTAGCTGCCGCAACTTTTTGGTCGTTCGCAACCTCGTATCACCCTCGAGTATAATGCATATAACCCAAACCAGTTCTTGTGAATATACTGGCCCCACGACGACGATCCCGACGATTGATTTCAAAAAGCACTACACTTGCCAAGATGCGACAAACATGATCCTGTCATAAGGACCAACACACTTGTTGAAACAACCACGACACCTTACTTATACTCCACGCGCTCCACTACTCCCATACCCAGCTCCAAACTCCCAGGAGACTCGAAGCAAACAATGCCCAGCTCCATGGAGAAGTTCCCAGATCATGTTGAACCTATGGATGGTACATCGCCTTATGCCTCGAGTCCTACGAGAGCCAATGGCTTCATCAATGGCTCGGCTTCCGCAGACAGATGGCAACCAAGGAAAGATAGTGGGCTGCGGAGTTCTGCCTGGAATGGACCGGCAAGCACAGGAGGGAGACACAGTAGACAAAAGAGCTTAGGTGATGCCTTCAGGACAATGAGGACGAGAAAAGGAAGTGTCAGTGCAAATGTACAAGAAGTAGCAGAGGCGCTGAAAGCACCAGTATCGCCCAAGTTAGTTGTTAGTGACCCTTCGAGAACCTCACCTCATATGAAAATCAAATATTGATTATTGTAGGGCCTTTGTGTTATCTGGTACACGTCAAGCGCACTGAACAATACGTCTTCGAAATCCATCCTCAATGTCTTCCCTAAACCAGCGACTTTGACTTTGATACAATTTGGCTTCGTCGCCTTCCTGTGCCTCTTTTTCTCATATTTAGCAACTGTCTTTCCCACATTGCAAAACAGGATACCGGCCTTAAGATATCGAGTTCGATATCCTACTCGAGAAGTGGTTATGACTACACTTCCTCTAGCCGCTTTCCAGATAGGTGGTCACCTACTATCTTCAAGCGCCACCATGAGAATCCCGGTCTCGTTAGTCCACACGATCAAAGGACTCTCCCCCCTCTTCACAGTATTCGCCTACCGACTCATCTTCGACATCCGCTATCCAATGGCCACCTATCTCTCTCTGATCCCTCTCACGCTTGGCGTAATGCTCGCCTGCTCCTCCTCGCTGAAAGGCAACTTCTTCGGCATCCTCTACGCATTGATCGCGGCCATAATCTTCGTCACTCAAAACATATTCTCGAAACGTCTCTTCAATGCCGCTAAAGAAGCCGATCCAACAGGTGCTCAAAACAATAAACTCGACAAGCTAAACCTTCTCTGCTATTCCTCAGGCTTAGCTTTCATCCTCACATCTCCCATCTGGTTTTACTCCGAAGGGCTCACCCTCCTCCGAGATTTTTTCCACGACGGCTCTCTCGACCTCTCTGAAGGAAACGGGAAACTCATCCCCCTCGACCATGGGAGATTAGCCCTAGAGTTCATATTTAATGGCTTTTTCCACTTCGGACAAAACATTATCGCTTTCGTGCTGCTTTCTATGGTGTCACCAGTAACCTACTCCGTCGCCTCCCTCATAAAACGCGTCTTCATCGTCGTAGTAGCAATAATCTGGTTCCGCTCTCCTACGAACAAAATTCAAGCTCTCGGCATCGCTCTCACATTCTTCGGACTGTATCTGTATGACCGTACATCACACAGCAGTAAAGCTGATAAGAAAGCTAAGATGATGGATATTAAAGAAGAGACTATCTTGCCGATGTCTAATATCCCTGGATCAGGCACTGGAAGCACACTCACGCCCGATACGCCGGTCAGAGGCTATACCAACGGGTATGCTATTAACACCTCCTCAGATCCCAGAAAGTCAGATGATTTTGGGAGGGCTGGAAGGGTGAGGGGTGGTAGTAGTGTGGCATGGTTACCGCCAGGAACAAGACAAGAGGAAACGTGGGGTAGGGGCCATAGCCCGCATCTTGCTGTTTCGTGATTGTTACTTGTTTGCGTTAGATATGGGATGGTATGTATAGGAGCTTAATAGAATGGCTCTGGATGGCGTTCCTCTGTGTTGATATTATGTTGGATGGAATGAGTGTATCATCATGAAGCTGAAAATAGAAAAGGTTTAAGGAACAGGTGACTTGAACACCTAAACTTTCGAGTATAAAATTGTTGCTCTACCATTGAGCCAATGCCTTTTTCGTTTATGAAATAGCTACCGGTTAGGTCGGATCCGAGCCGAAATTTACTTTGATGACAAGGAAGAATTGTGCTTTTCGTCTTGATATTGGGCGTTATGCTTCTGCGGTTTGGCATTGATGCTTTGATCAGCCGCAAGTCTTACGATTCTTTAATGCCGAGCGTCTTCTCACAGCTACTCTTATGTGGGTACGATACACCTATTTGATCTTCTCGTGTTTGTTGCCTGGCTAGCTGTTTGCTGGTCTAGATAATGCTATTTAGTCATCATCCTCAGGTGACTTTCCTCCAACACGACCTTACCTGATGTCACACATCTGCAATCGAAAACTCTTCGACGGTCAAAGCCATCACATGAACCAGATCGAGGTAAGGCATATTTCATTCCATTGCAAGTCTGCTCTGGAAACTCTCACTCGTGTGTTCGGCGTTGTACTTTAGCTTATCAGTGGTGGGAGACGCTTATGATATTTTCCATGTCAACAATTGTGTCTATACTGCTCTTCATCTATGGGATTCAGGCTACTTTTACACGGAACCATTTCGGAACGAATCATACTTACAATATCTCCTTACTGTGTCCAATCACCACAACTCCCAGACTACAAGTCCAAACAGCAAGGCACAGCATGTCCTACTTATATATACAACGTCTCACATCCAAGGTTATCCGTGTAAAGTCTACATGCAGCCCTACTTCCCTCTTCTTCAGCATACAGATATGCCTTTCTGCCCAGGAGAAGAGGTCTTTCAACAAGAAAATCTTTGAAATCTAGACTGATCGTCTGCGGAACACCCCGGCTCGAAGGTGTGGTCAGAAGAGAAGGAGGCGAGTAAGACTTTGGACCGGTTATATCGAGCGCTTTTGTGGGTTGTTTGTGCTGCGCACCTATCAAAGACTGACTTTCTCCCTTCGTGAACCCAAATGAAATGAAGTCCGCATGCCTGAATAATGGATCAGTCTTGAACATCCACAAGCCATCGCTGAGTCTGGATCTCCCAAAGTTTCCAGGCTTTTTTCATCACATTGAAATGTCGCTATCATGAACTATATTTGAAAGATTTCATGTACGAGGTTCAGCCAGGATTTGATGATATCGTCCTCATAGATGCTTCAACTTTACTGCACTCAGATAGTTAGAAAATTGTTCCTGCAACGATACATTAAAATTACCATTCAAGATATGAGGAAAGGTATCAATGTTCTGAATATAGCCATAACCAGAACTCAGGACCAAGATCGCAAAACTGCAGAATTGCGCAATTACAAACCCACAGAACTAATCAAACCAGGAATATACACGAGGAGTACTTATTACTTGAGCCACGAAACAGTCGAAATAAGTACAACCGAACGAACTACGGCTTTATCAAGGGATTGTGTCTTGCAATTTGAGGTAGTATCTGCCAGTGTACTTAAGCACGTCTCTCTCATCCAGGAAAGCAAGTAGATTGTAATTTTTTACGTACAAGTACAGTAGTCATCTGTCAGGCCGAATCCTGGAAAATAATGACTTGAAGTCTGAATACAGCTCTTGTTCCAAAGTACACCACCCCAACACGGCAGATTCAAATTTTCAAATTTCTGCGCTTTTAGAGTAAGTGCAGAAACGCACAGAAATTCAGGACTTGACATGGCAATAGACACAAATTCTCATGAACTCAAGTGCCTTGTAAGGATTGAGTTCTTGATGTTGTGCTTGTGAGGAGTTGCACTAATAGGTCGTTTAAGAAGGTAAACAAATGACCGCACCTGTCTAACGCCTTCATCGTGCCGACCCAGGCCAGTCTCCAGACTCTAATAAACGCCAGGAAAATCAATATCTCTTCACTCATAACCATCAGCAAAAATCAACACCCCCTACACTTTCCGACCATCCAATCTCCTTCCTACGCCAGGCTCTTTCTTAATCTCCTTCACCTCTTTGACTTCCTCCTTCACATCTTTCTTGACACCACCCTTCAGCGTAAAACCCTGGCCCGCAAAATGTGGTTGTTGGGCATCAGCATTCTCCTTGTCTTTATCAGCCTGTGTTTTTAACGGCTTGATATCGTAACCGAAAAACAGCTTGTTTGGCCCCAATCTCAGCGGTTGCGGACCATTGGTTATGCGGACTGTTGTCTCGACGGGAGCTGAGGCATTGGTGCTTGTTCCTGCGACAGGAGTCGAGGCTTTTGGTGTGGGGTTCTTGCTGCTTTTCTTCGCGGAGAGTTTTTGGCCACCGAGTAAGAAGTTGGAGGACGCCGCTTTAGCGCCAGCTACAGCTGCCGTGGAGGAAGCGGAAATAGCGTTGTAGTTTATGGCTTGTGCCATCGTCCCTTGGTTATGCAGCATTCCTCCCACAGGTAAACTCCCAGCTCCATTTCCAGATCTCGGCGTCGAAGTCCCGCTGCTCCTCGTCGGCTCAACATACCCCACCGGCGGAGCAAAGTCTACTTCGACATCTGTCTCCATGACGCAGACACCATGCTTTTCAGACTCGGGCTTAACTTCTAAAACTGCAACGTCGTAGATGGTATCGTTGTATTTGAAGGAGAAGATATCGCCTTTTGTGACGGTGGAGAAGTTGCGGAAGGCGTTCTCAAGAACGGCTTTTGGGTCGGAGATTTCAAGGAAATTGACGTCTTGGGGTTGGAGTTTGACGAGCGAGGCGAGACTGAGATCAGTGGAGCGAATTTGGATCAGGTCGCCGGTGTCGAGGAGCAGTGCTTGCATCATCTGTACATTCTTTATTAGATACATAAATCATAAGCAGGACATGAGAGGTGACCCCTCATGGCGGGGTGAGCATACCCAATTTGGCAAATACAGCTTCCCCTCCTCAGCAATGAACTCTAATACACCGCAGTGAGTCGTCCTATCCAACTGGCCATTTGTGAGCTCAAAAAGCATGGGGTACGAGATATGTAGGCGTGTGAGCTTCTCGAGCGCTGAAGGTGGCATGATGATCTTTCCACCATAGTTCAGCTCTTCTCTCTCGGGCCCGGGAAGCATGACTGTTGGGTAGCAGCGGTAGTATTCATCGAAGCGCTTTGGGGGACCACGCATGCCGCCTCGCTGGAGCATCTGGTACATCGCTAGGGGATCTTCGCCCTCGTAATAATTGCCGAACGACTGGATGGTTGTTAGCCATTTGTTTTGAATGAAAGAGAAAGAGGATAATACTTGCCATTGTGACGAGGTTTAGGAAAGAGCGTTGAGATCAAATGAAGGTAACAGGAAGTTGTCAAGGTTTCTCGAAATAGAAGAAGAGCTGGAGATGTGGGGTCGTGGATCTCAAAAGAAGTTTACAGCTATTCCTCACCCGCAGTACATGACGTTCTGGCTGTGCATGACGGACAATCTTATCGCCGAAAGCTGTGTAGCCTTGTCGTGCCTTGCATTCACTCCACCCCCCATTATAATAGATACTAGTACAAATATTGATACGAACACCAACTCTATGCTATTGCATTCAATTGTTACAAGGCTCAATTCATAAATTCATGCTCTCCTGGTTCACCAGCAACATGTCCTCCCGCTACGCAGCTGCGCGCCCCAAACGTGCTGGCGAACAATTCGCAAGAACCCACCATGCAGAGGACGGTCCCTCGAACAAAAAACCCAAATTCGATATTCGGAACCCCTCAGCCTTGGCTCCCGATGCACCAGAAGAGGATGCCGTTCTGGACGCAGATGTCATTGGCGCCTCTGGGGCGGGCATGAAAAGAGGCGCGGTGAATATAGATGGATATGATAGTGATTCGGAGAACGAGGGATTCGATGCTCGTGCGGAAGAGAGGGCGAAAGCTAAAGGCAAGAAAGGCAAAGGAAAGGGTGGAAATGTCAATCTTGCAGAAGCTTTTGAATATGGGAAGGATGGGAATGGGGGTATCGGAGCTAATGTCGGGAAGGAGGATGACGAAGACGAAGATATGTTCGGCGATCTAGAAGAGGATGACGAGGAGGAGAAAGAAGAGAGTGCTATTGGAAGTAAAGCCAGGGAAAAGGCCGTCAAGTTCCTCGAAGCCGACGAGATCGAAGGACAGGTGGATAGTTCTAGGAGTGGTGGACATATATCAGGGAATTTTGCACTCGACCCCAAAGGCAAACTCTCCACCCACGCTATGGACGATGCTCTATCCTCAGATGATGAAGAAGACGCCGCTCTCGCCGCCGAAGAGGAAGATGTTGATGCTGAGGTCGGTGCTGGCGGTCTAAAACGCAATGCGCCTAAAGTGGATGCTTTCAACATGAAAGCTGAGCAAGAAGAAGGCCGATTCGATGCTGCGGGCAACTTTGTACGCAAGGCGAATGATCCTGATGCGAAGCATGATATGTGGTTAGAGGGTGTCAGTAAGAAGGAGATGAAGAAAGCTGCCGAAGCGCATGAGAAAAGAGAGGTGGAATTGAGGCAGAAGAGGTTGGAGGATGATGCAATGCTTCTTCCAAATATTCTGAGAGTGCTTATTCTGGATATGGAAAAGGGAGAGACTGTTCTTGAGGCGTTGGCGAGACTTGGGAAGGGACAGACGAAAACGAAGAAAGTCCCGAAATGGAAACTCAAGAAGATGGGAGTGGATTGCATGGATGTCGATCCGAAGAAAGCGGATGAAGATCCTGCGCAGGTCAAAATTAAGGAGGCGGTGGAGAGGATTACGGGGGCGGCGGATCAGTTGCTTACGAGAGGCCAAACGGAAATTTACGAACAAGAGAGAGAAATGTTGATCAGGCAGTATAGACGCGAAGCCGGTGAAGATTGGATTGAGCCACCAAAGGCAGATGCTGGAGACGACTTGAATGATGTTAGGCCCGTGAAGATGTGGGAGTACAGGTGGATTGATGGCAGGGATGGAGCCAGTAAGCAGGGGCCGTACGATGGGACAACAATGGCAGCGTGGCAGGACGCTGGATATTTCGGGGAGGGAGTGGAGTTCAGAATAGCGGGTGATCAAGGGGCTTGGGAGAGGGTTGTGGATTTTGTGTGAGTGACTATGGCGGGGCCATGAAGCTTAATGA